CGGCGGCGCCAGGCCGGCGCCGGCCGTGACCCGGGCCGCGCCGGCCGCCGCCGCGGGACAGGAGCGCCCGCCAAGGCCAGCCGCCGGTGCCGTGCACGGCTAACGGGCCAGCCCCCGCACACGCCGGCCCCGCGCCGGCGGCGGCGAGCTCGCGGCGCCGCGCGGGGAGCGGCCCCGCGCCGCAGCGGCGGCCGGTCGCTCCGGCGGCGTCCGTCGCCGCCGTCGCTCCGGCGGCGTCCGTCGCCGTGTCAGCCCGTCAGAGCTGCCCCGGCTGGCGCTGCGACCAGGCCGGTGTGGGCAGGCGGAAGGCGGTGTGAGGTTCAGGCTCCGTGTCAGTCTCCTCCAGACGACCTCATCTCGCTCCAGTCGTGGGCGCCGTCTTCCTAACGCGGAACAGCGAACCCTTCCGGCTGCAGCGGTCGCGTAAGACGTAATTTCCTAGCTGTGCCGAGAAGGCGGGCGTCTGTGTATGTACATCTCCGCGTCTGTGTGTGAGAGAGAGAGGGAGAGAGAGAGAGAGAGAGAGAGAGAGAGAGAGAGAGAGAGAGAGAGAGAGAGAGAGAGAGAGAGAGAGAGAGAGAGAGAGAGAGAGAGAGAGAGAGAGAGAGAGAGAGGGGGGGGGAAGCGGGAGAGGGAGGGAGCGCTCTGGGCGTATTTAGATGAGGAACAATATGAAGAAGGAAGCCCTCCAGCAACATTAGCAGTCCAGCAGCAATCTGCCTTGTCCCAGTAGGATTAGGATAAGCTAAAAGAAAGCTTACAAAGAAAGATCAGCGGAAAGGTCATGGTCTCATTGCGATTGTGCTGTCCACAGACGCCACTCTGCTCCTCCAGTCTGCAAACCTCAGTATTTCTTTGCTCCCAGGTTTGCTCCATCCCTCGCGTGCACGGCTCTGCGTTTCTCCCGCACTGCTGATGATTGTGGACGTGGACGTGGACTGTGTGACTGTGGACGTGACGCGGGGGGCAATGAGAATGACGTAGGCGCAAGACACTCCAACAAAGGATTTTGTTCGAGTACCCCGCCTGTTCCACCCAAAGTGCTCCCATTTCGTCTCTCCTGCTGCACTCCTGTTTGCCATGACCCGCTTGTAAAGCGGTGCCAGGAAATGAGAAAGACAGGCACACAGAGGGAGAGAGCGAGCCGGCGCGAGCGCCGTTGCGAGAGAGTTGGGCTGCAGGCTCGCTGGAACTCGTCCTACAGTCGAGACCATCGCGAGCGGACGCGAGGAGAAACGCCATGCAAAACGGTGCTGACCACGAGAGTTGGCCGATGGTCGCTGGCGTGGCCACGCCGGCCTCTCCAGGTCACTGCCGGGCGGTATTAATGGCGCTTCCCGTTAGCGTAATAATCGACTGTGGTCGGTCGGTCGGGCCGCGCCGCGCCGCGGTCCGGCCCGGTCCGGCCGCCGGCCCGGCCGCCCGGGCGCCGCGTAATTGAACTTGTAAATGAATCCGCCATCAGCGCTTGCCGGGCGGCGACCGACCTCTGTGCGGCGCCGTCGCCGCGCCCCCGGCTGGCCTGTGACCTCGGCGAGGCTGGGAACCCCGCCTGATTTGTAGTCGCGCGGGGTTCACGTCCTCACTTGACCCGTGACCTGTGCCGGCCCGTGGCCTCGTTCGCTGTGCGAGCGCGCCACACGCGCGGCCGCAGCCGGCGCCGCGGCCGATGATCGCGCTCTGCGGCCGCCGCCCTTCACATGTCCGGGCGGCGGCCACGGCCGGCGCTCCAAATCGTGCAGAACTCAGCCGGCCGAGCGGGACTGTCCGCCATGGACGAGTGGCCAGCGCCGGCAGCTGACTGCTCGGCGGGGCCGCCGAGGGCCGCGTAATCGTGTACAGAAGCCGTACGGCCGGCTGCAGCCGTACAGCTGTGGCGTGGGCCGGCCGCCCTCGGTTATATCCGCGGCGCCGAGCGGCCACAGACCGGTTTGCGGGCGTCCGAGCGGCGGGGGTGGCCGGGGCGGGCCGCAGCGGGGTCGACAGGGACACGCCGCCGGCGCCGCACTTTCCTCCGGTGGCGCTGGACACAGTCCAGCGCTGGGCCGCCTGCGGGGCATTCCGGCGGACGGAAGCGCCGAAGCTGGAGCTGAGGCTGAAGCTGAAGCTGTTGCTGGGTTGTCGTAACTGGATGAAGCTATCGTGATGTCAACGGGTATGAGCCGTGACAGCCCACGACCGGTAGTCGCTGCCCTTTTTCGTGACCGGGGTCTTTAGGTTGCTCTGCAACGGGCCATTCCGTGACGGTCGCTGTAGCGCCCAGCCGAAGCATTTGTACCATTCCAAGGCATTGTGTTCGGCGTCCGACTGAAAGTCATGTACCACGCATTGTCCGTGGCGTGCGGCTGGCGCATTCAGGGAGCCGGAGCGGCCGACGCCCCCCGTGCATGGTACGTATACACTTAACAGGGATGGCGGCCGGGCTGTTGCTCCGGGCCACGCGCGTAGCGGGTGTGTCGGCGGCCCGGCCGCGCTGCGACTATAAAAGCCGTACGATGAGGCGACGCTTCCCGTGCGCGGCGCGTCACGTCACGTCACGTGACTGCGGCCCGTGCCGCCTGCGGGAGGGCAGCGGCGGCCGCGGCCAGACCTCATGGACGTCACACCGCTCCTGATCACCATCTGACCCCGGCCCCAGCCCACGCCCTCCGCCCATCGTCCGGGAATACATAAATCGGCCGGCTGACAATTATGTCGAATTAGACTGCGGCACTGTCATCGCAAACCAGCGGGCCGGGGCCGGCCGCGCGGTGACACGTGACCCGTCGGCGACCTGCTGACCCCCGGCGTCGGGCGCTGACCTTTTTGCTCCGTGCTGGGGCGGCCCGTGGGCGTTCTGACCCCGGAATGATTGCTGAGGCCGGGGAAGCCGGACGCTGTCGCTTGTGCTCGCCAGAACTGGATGCGGGTAGCTTTAAGGTCTTCGGAGGATTTTGGCACTTCTTATGCTCCTTGAGTTAAAGGTCTTTTTGACCGAGCGTTTTCTGGCATCGCGTAAAGTCGTGTTTTTGGAGCAGAGTCGGTGGTTGGCGCGTACGGAACGCTGTGCCGGAGGACTGTTGTAGTTTATTGGGTTCGCGGACATTGTTCAAAACAAAGCCCGACCCGCCCGCACCAGCCGCAGCCGAGCAGAAGGTCTCTGGTCCGGGACTGCGGCGGTGTTGCCCCCCCCCCCCTTCCCTCCGTCTTTTTCTCCTTCGTCTGCTCTCCCTCTCTTTCTCCCTCCTTCCTCTCTCCCCTCTTTCACCCGCCTTCCCGTCTCCCGCTCTCCGGTCTCTCCCTCGGTCTCTCCAATCTTTTCCCTTTCTTTTCCCTCCCCCTCCCAGTGTCATTCCTTCACTCACCCGCACTCTCTCGCTCTCTCGGCCAGCGCGCCCCGCGCCCACTCGGTCAGCCGGTCGTGCCGCCGCGCGCGGTGCGTCTGTTCTCCGCCTCTCTCCCGGGCCGCCGCCGTCCGTCGGGGACCTCCTCGGCCGGCCAGCTGTCGCCGTTCCGACTGCATTGTTGTGCGGAGCCAGCCAGCCGGCTTTCGCTGCCGGCTGGCTGGCTCCGCTCCTCCGGCGCCTCGCCTCGGTCCATGGCGAGCATTGGCGGACGGACCGGAGTCGGTCGTACCGGACGGACCGTACCCGGCGCCTTGCCGGGGCCTGCACAGCGTGATCAGCGCCGCGGTGCCGTCGGCTGTTCAGTTGTGGTCGTCGCTGACCACGATTTCGTACATGGCGAGGGCCAACCACAGTCGATGTATGTCTTACCGAACCACAGTTCATAGGATGAACCAGCCCGGTCCGGACCAGTGGCCGACACGTGCCCTGGACAGTCAGCAGTCCGTACCCGTCATTGACGGCCTACGCGCGGCCCTCGGCCGGGCCGAGCGCTGCAGAATAGCCGGACCCGGCGGCCGGCGCCGGCAAGACTCGGGACTCCCACAGCCGACCTGTCGCTCCCGAATTAGCCTGGCCTGGACGGGCGACCTCGTCGTCTGGACGACATAAGCCGCACGGTCTGTTTGTCCTGCCCCCGCCCCCCGCCCCGCCCCCTCCCCCACCGCAGCCGTCAGACAGACAGAGAAAGCGGACCCATAAAAATACAGGTGCTGCCGAAATGCACCTGTTTCTGTCGCTTTAATTGTTCCCCTCGTGTCGCTCCACCTGGCTGGCGGCGGTTGTTCTTGCGGTTGGCCAATTCCGGTGTTATGCGGAGCTATTCGCGTGGTGTGTACATCGCGAACTGGCGACGGTCGAACGGCAAGCCCTGCATTGTCCTCGATAGGGGCTATTCTGGCACATTAGCGAGGCGCCGAGCGGCTGGCTCACGCTGAGCCAGGCTGGTGTCAGCCGGTCGGTCCGTGACGCCCAGTATGAGCGAGTCGTCAGCCATTCGTCCAGGCTTGGCCGCAAGCCTGCAAGGTGTGCGTCAGTCGTCACCCGCGCGCCAGACGTCGTCAGCTTGCAGGGCCCGATGCAGACGACTCCGGGTCAAGAGCCCCTTTCAGGGGGCCGTCCGGCAGTACTGTAACACATGCGCGCCTTAGCTGGGACAAGCGGAATCGTCCGGAGTGGACGCATGCTGCGAGTGAGCGGTTTGAGTGAATGGCTTTCCACGGGAGAGGGTGAATTTATTGAGCGTCATAGCGAGTAGGCGGAGGCGATGGGAGCGTCGTTTGGGGCTGTTGTCGGTGCTCGCGCGCCGCTCTGCCGATCTCGTGCGGCGTCTGTCGCCGATCATGCCCCGCCGGATATTTATAACGAGGTGGCGCATCAAGGCCGGCGTCCCAGGAGGCCGACTTCGCGGGACTGCGGAGCGTGACAGCTGACCAGTCCCGGGACAACACGACGCGACAACGACGGCCGCCCCGCTAAATCACGGCCCGGAGCCGAGCATCAATTCGGTATGACTTGAATTTATGCCGCTGACGTCACGGGCGCCGCAAATGAATGATGGTGTTGTTCTTGGCAGCGCGCATAAGTGTCTTACATTTCTGTTCTGGTTTTTTCCAGAGGGTTTGAGGGAGTACTTCTGTCGCTACGGCGACGTCAACGAGGTGATGGTCATGAAGGACCCGACCACCAGACGATCCCGGTAAGCTTCGACGTGACCTCGGGTCAAGGGCGTCGCCTCGGGCGCGATGTCGTGTAGCTAGGAGCCTGTGAGGCCGTAGCGTGCAGGTCATCAGGGACATCGTACCGCCTGTCAGGCCGTCGTTTTGGCCGTAGCGGCTGAAGCTGTTCGGCAATTTGCGGATCACGTTAATAGCATCTGATAGAAATTTAGGCGTAGGTGTCAAGGGTAGGACCTATAGGGGATGTGCGACTGGAATAGACTGTACCGATTTTTGCAGAAGTTGGCAGGAGCTGCTGCATAAAAACTGGACATTAAGTCATTGCCAATGACAGACACAAAGTCTTCGGAAACAAGCCGGAGCTGAAATTGCGAGGTGACTGGCCGTACCCTCTGCCCAGCGCTCCGCTGCTGAATTCTTGGAAGTCGAGTCAGGGCGTGGCTCTGTCAGCCCGACACTGAATCTCCGCTGACACCGGGTGGGTTCTCATCTGAATGACTAGTGACTGCAATTTAAACTCGTTCTGACAAACAGACGAGCCCAAACTTGACATCATTTATAGCCGCGTTATTGGCGTCATCTGTCGGACTTCGATGTGCGGCGCCCCCTCCCCCTCCTCCTCGCCAACGTCGCGTCAGTCTAGGTCGGGACGGCGCCAGCGGTACCGTCCGAGGGGGCTGGGGGGGGGGGGGGGGGGCTGCGTCAGCGCTGTGCGGGCCTGGCGTTCGCTGAAACCGCCAAAATCGGCGCAGTTAATGACTCGCGCTCGGCGCCGGTGCTGGCAATAAATGCTAATGCCGCGGGGTGAGTTGTTTGCTTGCAGCCGCCGCGGACGGGCTGGGAGGCTGGGGACGTGCAGGCCCGGATGGAATGGGGCGACAGCGTGAAAACTAGGAACGGAACGGAGAATGGGAGCGTGGAACGCGATGGGAGAACGAGAGAAGCGACGACAGCTTGAAGGACGAGAGCAGGGAACGTCGACTTGGTGTGAGCCTGAAGTCAGCGCCGTATAGCGGACTTCAAACGCACCGGTTCCGACCGTGCACAGGCGGACGCCATGAGGAGTACGACCGGCGACGATCAGGGGTCGGAGAGGGGGACGACGCGCTGGCGCTGCGTCGACAGCGCGAGGCTCTGTCGACGCAGCGCCAGCGCAGACCGCCTGCTTCAGCTGCAGACGCCCGCTAAGTGCTCCGTCGCACCGGCCCCGAGCCATGGACCTCTGGTCTGCACTGCGGTCGGTCAGTGCAGCCGGAGCCCCTCCCTGCTCCTCCCTCCCCCTCCCCCCACCCTCTGCCCCGTCCGCGCTGACGAGCGTGGTCGCCAGTACCACTGCATCGGCCCCATAAATCACCAGGCGCCGCCGAATCGATGCCCCTAAATCCCGCTGGACCCAATCAGGTCACCGACAATGAATCATACCGCGTGTGCGCCAGGCAGAGGGAGAGAGGGAGCGCGCGCAGAGCAGGTCAGAGCGGCCGGCGAGAGCTGGAGAGCGCGACAGATAACGCGGTCGTTACTCGGGCCGAACAGGTTTGCGCCTTCATATCCACCACCATAGCACAGGCTCTGCAGTTTAGCACGCATTCAGTCCTTATCAGATGGGCCGACGGCCGGTTGTAATTTGCGACGCCGGCGTCGGCGCCGGCGCCGGCGCCGCGGCGCCGCCGGCGGCCGGTTAATGTCGCGCGGATGACGCCGGGGCTCCGGGGCCGGCCCCGATTGGTGGCGGGGCCGGCCCCGATTGGTGGCGGGGCCGTGACGCGGCCCGGGCGGCGGCGTGACCACGTGCCGAAGACGCGTTCATCGTGGCGGCGCGGCGGCGGCGGCGGCGCCTCACGCGACCGCCCTGCAGCCGAGCCGGCGCGGCCGGCGCGGCTGCCAGCGGTCATGCGAGCCGCCGGCCGGTGCGCGGCACGTGACCCGGCGAGCCGTGCGGAGCGGCGGCCCGCCGGGCTGGGGTGCAGGGGCGCTCCGGCGCGGCGCAAGGAGGCCGGCGCGTCATCAGGCCGTCCGATCAGCGTGCTTGGCAGGCGTCGCCCGGCCCGACTCGGCTTTCATTGGCGACAGCGAGCCGTGTGAATACAGGGCTCTATTGACGCCGCGTCCGGCCGCGCGTCGCATGCCGACGCGTGACGAGCGCGGCCGTCACCCGACGCGGCGGATCCCCTGCGCCCCTGCCCCTCGCCTTCCCCTCCCCCTCTCGTCGTTCCGACCGCTCAGCACCTTCAAGCGCGCTGATCTGACCTCCATCTGACCTCTGCCGTAGTCTGTCATTTTCGGTCTGTTTCTCTCGCCGGCAATATTTCATGCTTCCTCGCTCTTTTGCTCCTCGCCTGCTCGCGTCCTTGTGCGTTCATGCACTCTTGGTCTTCCTCTGATATGCTGTTGCTTACTGGCGTCTCCCTCAGCTTTGATAAAACCTGTCTTGACGAGGCTGTAGCCTGTGCCTTCTGCCGCTTCTGCCCGCCGCTTCCTGCCCTGTACCTGTACATTTACCTGTACTTTTACCTGTATACGTTCCAGTTCGTACCTGTACCTGTGCCTCTGCCTGAACCTGAACCTGAACCTGAACCTGTGCCTGTACCCTGTGCCTGTGCCTGTGCCTGTACCCTGTGCCTGTGCCTGTGCCTGGCCTGTACCCGTACCTGTACCTGTACCTGTACCTGTACCTGTACCTGTACCTGTACTGACCCCCGTGCCGTGGTGTGGCGGGCTCCCGTGCCCCGGCGGTGATTTGCCCGGCGTCCGGCCGGGCAAACCACCGCCGGCCGGATCCTCCGCCCGCCGGCCGGATCCTCCGGCCGCCGGCGTCCGGCCGCCGACCGGATCCGCACGCCGCGTGCGCAGTCCACACTGGTTGTGGGGGGACGGGCTCAGAAGGCCATTTTCAGAGCGCTTGCTCTCAGAAAAGCTTCGGTGAGAGGGTCTACTTTCAGAAATTCCATGCTCAAAATGCATACGCTTAGAGAGACTATTTTCAATAGACGTTATTTCGCAGGGGCTGTCTTTAGAAGATGTTTACCGCAGGGTTTGCTTACAAAAAGCTTGCGCATTGGGAAGCGTACTTGGGTTAGCTTGTATTCAAAAGGTTTATTTTGCCAAATGTTTTTACTCGGGTGCCTACGTCCGGGCCGTTCAAACACAGAATCGAGGAGGTTTATTTTAAAAGGTCTTCTTTCAGAACACCCACTTCATGAACGGCCGCGTTTGAGGTGCCTAAGTTCAGAAAGCCTAGGAAGAAGGGAAGAAAGCCGCAGGCGCTACATGCTCACTTTTGCACGGCAGCACCTACCCAAGGCCTGATTGATGACGTCACTTGTTCCCGGAACCTCCCTGGATGTGGCTTCTGTCGCTCAGAGGGTCGATTTGGTTATCGATTGTGTACGGCGAACTTTGTTGCTCATTGCCTGTCTTAAGAACGCCTCTATCAACGAGGCTTTCGTCCAAAGCACCCACTTGATCATGGCTTTCGTCCAAAGCACCCACTTGACCATGGCTTTCGTCCAGAGTACCCATTTGATCATGGCTTTCGTCCAGAGCACCCACTTGAACATGGCGTGCGTTGTGAAGGCGTAAAGCTGGACACGTTCAATGATCACGAGATGCTTCCGAACACATGCCTTGGTAGTGTGTTACTTTTGGACTTACATCTTTAGATAGCAGACCCTCCGAGCACAAGTCATGAGGTCACTTCAACCCGTGCCGCGATCAAGTACGCCTCCTGAACAAAAGACCCTCTTAAGTACGCATCCTGAAGAAAAACCTCTTCTAGTAGAGCTTCTCAACATAGCTTTCATTTGAAAAGGCCACCTGAACGTTGGCGTTCCGGCAACAGACTTTCTGAAAATAGCCGTTTGGAACGTGGGCTCAATGAAAATAGTATTTTGGACGTCAGCCACGTGAACGCAACCTTCCGAAAAGAAGGATTCCTGAAAATCGGCTTAATGATTATAACATTTGAGCAAACAAGCCCTCTGAGGAGCAGCATTCTGGGCGTAGGGCATCTGAGTCAGGCCTTTTGCAGGTAGACCTGACAAAAATAGGTCTCTTGAATATATGCCACTTAAGGATCGGGCCTTCTGCATGCGCAGTCTCTGAAAATGGCCCTCATGAAATAGCAGTCCTGAAACTGGCTTCTAGAAGATAGGCTTTCTGCACCCAGACCGTCTGAGAGGGCTGCTGAAAGCGGGTCGTGAGACGCGTCGCCGGCAGCGGGGTGCCTCGGTGCCCGGCGGGCCCGGCTCCGGCCGCCGCCGGCGCGCGGGGTCGCTGCTGTCGCGGCGGCCGGAGCGCGCGGCTCCTCCGCACCTGGCCCCACTCAGCTGACGCGCCGTCAATAGCGGGCGGCGCGCGCGCCACCGCCAGCCGGGAGAGCGGCACGGCCAGAGAGACGCGCCGGCCGCGGCCTTGGTAACAGGCCGGCCGGCCGCGGCCCGGCGCGCGGCGGGTGGCCGGCGCCAGAGAGGTCCGGCCGCCGGTCCGGCCCGGCCCGGTCGCGCCGGGCCTGCCGCCACCTGACGCCCGCCCGGCGCAGGCTCACGCCACAGGCTGGTGTACGCGCTGCCGCTTCGAGACGGCGGCCAGTCACTGCAGCGTTTGGCTCGTGGTGTGGGAGTCGCGGGGCGAGCAACGCCAGCCTGCTCATGAGGTTGGTGGGCGTGGCGTCTTGTGTCAGCTGCCCTCGACCCTCGACCCGGTCAGGGGAGGCCCCTGGCCGCGCCGTGGCGTCGCCCTTGCCGGGCGCGCCCCCTGATTGATGAGCCCTGGAAGCCCGTATTGCGTCACGGACCGGCCGGGCGAAAATAAAATGTGGCGGCCGCATGTGGCGTGCCGTGCGGCCCTCTGACGTCACCGGCCCTGTCACGTGACCGCTGGCCATAACTCATTGGGATCGGCGCTTGCGGTCTTCTGCAGGCTCCGTGCACGGGACGCGCCGTGCGTCACGGCCGACTATTGTGGGAGGGGGCCGGCCTGACCCCTGGCGGCGGGCGGCGCCATCCCGTCTGCCCTCGGCGCA